ACCATATATTGTTTGCATGCAGCTCATCAATCTCAAAGTCTATGTACTTGTTCCAGTTGGCATCACCGACAACCTGCTTGTACCTGGTAGGAACCACAATAGAATCAACATGAAAGGCGACAAAATCACGCATACGTGGCGGAAGCTGGCCACGTGTGTAGCGGGATGAGCGACGAGGGACCACGGTCTCGGGGGCAGGTTTAGGAGAAGATGATGATGTCGATGACGATGGAGATGACAATCTAGCTGAGGGCAAGGTAGAGGACTCTAAGCCGGAGCAGTCTGACGTAGATGATGACGAGGCATGAGATGGCTGGGGAGAAGTCGGGTGGTTAATCGTCATCAGGTAGGATGAGCTCATCAGTAGTCAATAAAAACTCAAGAGGACACAAAGGACTCACACTCATGAGTGGGGGAGAAGAAAGGAAGGTGCTTAAAGAAGGTGACATTACAAGAGATACGCATATGATAAAGAGACGGATCAAAACACAAGTATGCCTTATGAATGTCACTATAATCGATAAAAGCACAACAAACTATTTTAGAGAACAACTTATCGCGTTCATGACGCGGAAGGATAACAAAAACAGTACAACCATAGAACCTAAGACGACTTTACGGAGGATGGACAAAATGAAGGACATGATAAGGACTATGATTATCGAGCAAAGAAGTAACCTGATAATTCTATCTCACAACTGTAGTAATAGCCTCCGGCCAAAACCGAGGGGAACACCAGACTTGAGAAGAAGAGCTTGAGTGACTTCAAGGACTTGGCGATTCTTCCTTTTAGCAATCCCATTTTGCTGTGTAATAGTAGGGCAAGACTTCTGAAAGAGCATACCAAGAGACCTATACAAGTTAAGCAAATCAAATGATCCATACTCCCCTCCTTCATCAGATTGAACAATCTTCACTAATCAATTAAACTGAGTCTTAATCATGCTCAGAAACTCTGTGGCCACATAAAGGAGGTCAGACTTTAGCCGAAGTAAATACACTGATACATATCGAGTAGTTTGATCAACAAAGAGAGCAAAGTACTTATAACAATGTCGAGACACTACTGGAGAAGGGTCGCATATGGATAATGTGAAAGGGATCTTGGATTACTATCATTCTAGAAGGAATAGAGATATGAAATTATTTAGCCTCAACACAACTAGTACAAGCGAGTTTGGAGGAGCTATCAATCACATTATTCTTACCGAAAAGTTTGAGTTTGAACATAGAAACTAACTGACCCGTGATGGGGTGACCAAGATGAGAGTGATAAAGATTCAAATTTTGATCATTCAAGCTAGAAAATGCAGAACACAAAGGGAAAAAGAGTCAAGTAAAATACTCCCTAGACACCGACGAAGATACTGACCTTACATACTTATCCGAGAGCTTCTCAAGTTCAAAATTTTGTCCTCTTCTACTCATGCGCCCGAACTGCCTCCCTCGTCATGCACAACACAACCAGATAGGGAAAAAACACGATATCCCTGCTCAGTAAGCTGGCCAGAGAAACGAGATTTGGAGACAACTTCAGAACAAAGTAAGTATCTAGCAAGGCAATATTTGACTTATCCACACAACTGACTGACAACATTCAGTCGTTGACCATTAGCAACTTGTAGGGATATATTTTCAACCAGATTCATATCATGCAGCATCTTATGATCACTAGTCATGTGATTAAAGCAACCAGAATCGAGAACCCATGGTTTGAGATGACCTGAAACCTGAAGAGAAGCAAGGGCCATCACAAGGCAGTAGGTAACGAGTGCTATATAGCTTGATTGACCAAGCTTTCGATGGCCTCCATGTTGACATATGTGGATGTCGGAGTGGGTGAAGCCACATGGACACTCGGGTTGGATTGAGCAGCAAAGGCAGTGGGAGTGAGAAAGAATGCTAGCTTTGGGGCGCGACCCTGGTGATTGACAACGACGATTCTGAATTGATGGGCAATCAAGGATGATGTGCACTGTCTTCTGACAATAGTTACAGAAGTTGGGTATTCGGCAGTGCTTCTAAAAATGGCCCAAAGCGTGACAATGGTTGCATTGAACCTCAGATATTGCGCTGGAATTTATGCTTCCCCAAGTGCGAACGCGTGATCGGAGGACGGCTGAGACTGACCAGTAGCAGAGAAGACCGCTTCACCTTCACCAGGACGTAAGGAAAGCTGGGATTGAGTTTTGAAATGAGTCTCTGCACATATGAGTTTCCCCGACACATCCTCCATCATAAGACCATCTTGATTTATCATAGTGGAACGGACAACCTCAAACTCAGGCCTAAGTGATATGATCCTGGTCAGGATCACTGTCAGAGTATCAAACGCAACCAACAAGGATCTAGGTTTTCCTTGTTTCCGAAGCACAATTCGATTTCGATGATGGATCAATCGAACAACTTTATCATGGGAAAGAATCTAAATGATTTAGGATAGAACTCCCACAAACGGTCGTGATTCACCAGTTGATGCTTGAGCTTGATCTCGAGCTTGGATTGGATCCAAACACACAATCAGAACACGTTCAAACGATGAACATATATTAAAACGAAAACAAGTTGTTTGATCTTCTTCTTTTCTACCATTACATATTAATTGAAACCCTTTAAATAGACAAATGGACGCTACGAACTAAGTAGAAATCCTATCCTAACTAAACAAGGAAATTCAAACACAACAGAATCCAAAAAAAAAGCAAGGAAACAAAGTTTCTTCTCGGCCAAGTAATTGCCTTAAGCTGTACGGTTCAGCATGTGGGATACCAACTTGGGGCTCTTAGAAAATGGTCCAAGTCAGTTCGTTGAGCTCAACCAACATTTTCACGTTGAAGTAGAATTTTCCCTCTTTCATTTGCGACTCCAAGCTCGACCAAAGCGCCTCTCAACACGGAGAACCAGCTCCTCGAAGTTGGTGTCTCGTCATCTAGTTGGAGTCTGGAGGTGCTTGATGGCTTCCTGGAAAGCTAGTAACACATACTAGCTCGACAGGAGAAATGCCAACCACATGAAAGCCCAGAACTCAAATTATAAGGGTTGAAAATAGGGTCATGAACACGAGCTACAATCCCACCAAAGCACTCGGGTTTGGTTTCCATTTGATCCTTTAAGCTCCTAGATGAGACTTCATCACTAAGGCTAATCAAGAAAGACATAATACGAGTCTACTGTCATTCCTCCATCACCTTGACAGACGCTTCCATCATGCGAAAAGCTGCAGTGAGAAAATACTGCTCAGTCCACAGCTCTTGCGCCTTGTTAAGTAACTCGCGACATCATGGTCGCCTTGCTAAAGACGAGCTAACTTGAACTGAATATCAAATTTTCGAGCAGTGTTGTTTGCAGAATATGTAGACAATAGATGTGCCCACATGGCTTGAGCATCAGGGAGAAGACGAAGCCTAATCACAATGGTCAGCTCCACCGACCCTAAGATCCTCAATTTCACTCGGGCATTGTTCTGATTCCAACGAGCAATGTCCTACTCTGAAGCTGCAGGCGTTGCGGGTCTCGTTGTCATACCATCAAGGATTCCAAGAAGGCCACGACCTTCAACAAAAGAATGAAACTTAAACTCCCATAATGGGTAGTTCATGGAGTTGAGACGAACGAAAAGGCGATCCTAATCAGCTGACAAAAGCTCTGATACCATGTTAACAAATTGAGCTAGCACAAATGATGATAGAATGAAACACAAGACACACGATATACTTGGTATCCCTGAGATTCAGGACTAGTCCATGGGAGAGTATAGTACTCTCTAGCTGCAATCTTATTCCAGTATTCGATGAACACAACCGCCAAAATACAAAGGATTTACAGGAGGGAAAAACCCTACTCGCCCACTCAACTATCTACTAGGACGTGGCTCACAAGCCAAAGAAAGGAAAGAAGAAGAAAAGTGTCTGCCAATAAAGACAAATAAAGTAGTAATTTAACAATTTAATGATCACAATGATATTTAATTATACATGTACCACTTGGTAAATTTACACACATATATAATAACTAATAAAACCCTATTCCCCAGCCTCCCCCATCTCTATCTCCCCCCTCTCCCCATCTCTTTCTTTCTCTCTCTCTCTCTCTCCGAGAGCTTTCTTCACCCGCCTGCTCTTCCTCTTGAAGAACATCACTTCCCCCCTCACCATCGATCAATATCTTCCCATAAAATCAATCAGCTAATCAATCCAAATTCCAAGTCAAAGCAGGATGCTCACCGAAATTACAACAATAGTTAGCTAGCCTCCAACAATTAGTCAGCTGGCGAAGGAGAGGATCGCTTGTTGGCCTCCCAGCGACGAGGAAGATGCCACATCAGAAGGAAGAAATCGTTTGAAGCTCCTTCCGCCGCTTCTCTTCTCCCAACATCTTCCATTTTTTAATTTTTTTTCAAAGTAGGTCATATTTCCAAAACTGGTTGGACGATTCGAGCAGGTCGAACGACTAATCGGTTTGGCCGCTCGCCGACCGTCCTTTCCGGCTGTTGTGATCTTCATGGTGTCCCAATCCGAACTAGCGTCTAGGTGCCGGTTTTACCGGTCCGACCGGCCGTCTCGGGTCTGTCTTGATAACACTAGTATATACACATAGATATAAGAATGGGCTTAGCCCAAATTATTTGTAGTTTGCTTACTTGTATACTACACATATTTATGGAATATCAATGATTGTAAAAAGATATAGATAATCCAAATTATTAAAGAACGTTGGGCATCCTCCATGTACTCCTTCTAGGCTGGTGTGCTATAGAGTGTCAGTGTGTTGCGGCGTGCCCATGCCAAGAAAGATCATGATCCCACCTAACATAAACTAGACAATAAGCATTAAGCACAAAATGGTGTTCATTTTGAACAAAGATTGCCTATAGTGGTTGTCTCTAAAACTCGCAAGGTAAATTGTGCAGACTTATGCCTTATTTCCTCACTGTTAAGCCTATAGAGCATCTTTCCTTTTGCTTCCCCCTAGCTACGTGGAACAATACTTTCAGCAGAAATAGCTCGAATCTCACGTCAGATAATAATATGAACTAACGATACACCTTGGAAAGTGGTACAATTTGTGCGATGTTCTGTCGCACCAGTAACCAAGTGAAGAGTATTATGTATTTGTGTGTCAAATATGCTTACGAATCAACTGAATACATTACCTACCGCTTCCTACGATGAATAGACCCAATCACCCTTGACACAAGATGGACCTCCTTAGTCCTTCCCCTTGTTGAACTCAAAAGATAGCCATCTGGAAACGAACAGCATAGAATTTCTAATAACTCCCACAGATCAGTTCATCAACGGTGTGCTCACCAGCTCATCACCACACCATGTTCTTCTTCACTGCTCCTTGATTCACAGTTTATGCTAAGCAAGATGTTTATTAGTTCCATTCGCCCGCCAATTGTCTACTTCAAAAATTTGAGACAACGGAGATGACAAATTGTGACGCCTTCAGCATTTCCTGATGATGCTTGCCACATTTTTGCCAATATCTTCCTTTGCTTGCTCCGAAACTGGAACATCCCCTATGTACATGTCAAAGAAAGCCCCTGCACAAGTGAAATATAAGTTCAGTTCCTGCAAAGCGACACCGTATATTTTTAGCATGTATCAGAGGGGACAACTTACTGCATAGTTCCTTGCTTTGGATTGCTCCAATATGATTTCCTTCAACTACATCAAAAAGAAAGAGCTCCACACTAAGACCTTATAACTGAAATTAGGTACCATAAATGGCGGTACAGATACCACTATGATTTTGGGTTAAATTATTCACAATAAGTAATTTGAGAGTGAGAAACCAATAATCAACGTCAGATATGATGGGAAGTACAGAACAGGGATATGCAAAGCTTTAGATTTCAAGCGTGAACCTACAGAAGCTAACTTTCTCATATGTGAGGATACAACTTCAAAATTATTATTTCTTACTTTCAGTTATTAGATGGCCATCAGCTGTGCGCCTAAAGTCAACAGTGGTTCCCTGCAAAATAAATCAGTTGAGAGTAGTCTCAATAAACCCTCAAGTAGCAGAACACTTTAATTTCAACAGCATTAACATGGAGTGCAAAGTGAGAAATTACAGCCGGTATTGGAATATCTTTCGTGAACAGTGAGCCAAATGCATTCAGGCAACTGTAATCAGTGCTAGGGTTTGTCTGATAAGGCAACAAAAAATCAATTAGAATGTTCTCAAATTTTAAGCTATTCCATCTGTCCCTCTCTCTGTCGGCTTGAGAACAAAGTAGGAGGCAAGAGAGAAATTTTATAACTCAAGGAATAAGTTAAGAAGATGTACCTTCAGTAGTCGAGCTCGAAGTGATTTTTCAAAAGCACTGCAATCATGTTAAACAAAGGCCAAATCTTTAACAAACGAGCAGCTTCAGTTATAGTTGCTACAATCAAGCATCAATCAGAGTAAATGCCTACTACTCTAGCTCATCCGGATCTAACTAACAGACTTAAATCTAACAAAAACATGAACTACCATAAAGCTCAAAACAAAGAGAAACATGTATCATCCATGACTCGTAAAAAGTACTCTGAAAATCATGAATCTTAATCTTTATTCATGACTAATGAAAGAATCACTAAAAGGTTACAAATCATAAGACATTAAGGACCTGTAGATGTGATTGCTTCAAATCATTACCAGCAAGACGACAAATGTGTTGTCATAAAACCTCAGTTTATTCTCTTCAATTGAAGTTCATTCTTATTCTATTTGTCTATTTCGACTAACACTCTTATGTTAAGGATCCGGCCCCATCCTAATATACAGCCAAGACAAATGATAGAATCATAACATCTCCAGGAAGGAACAAATGAAAATAATAAATCACGTACTCTCTCACAGTATTGATTTTCATTCCGTTGCAGTTTATCACAAGACGAACAGTCATGCCAATATCCTCCCTGTACAACTCAAAAAATGTTAAGAGACAGTTTTACAAATTGATTACATCACCCTTAAAAAATTTAAATTTGTATACATTGAATAAACAGTTCAGTTATGCAGCCTTATAAAAGAACCCAAGTGCCCAACCAGGCCAGAATAAAGTAGTTATGAAATTCATTTATTTTCTGACGGAAATAACAGTAGAAAACAAAGGCCAGGAGAAAATTTTCTATAGCAATTCTTATCTTGGCCACGTGACTCAGGAAGGAATTTCAAAGCATATTACTCACTAGGTAACAACAGTAAAGGCATTTCAGAACTTCCTTGTGAACTTCTTAATAGCTTCATACCCTAGCTAGGTAAATTGAGAGTATATATAACAACACGTTGGCCCAAGGTTTGAATCCTAGGTGATAGGGATGTTGTAATGCAATTGAGAAGTGAGGAGCTGCATCAGTACCACTGACATTCTAATGATATTATCAAATGAATATTTATCTTACAAAAAATGAAGCCCAAGAAAAGATGCCAAACATGGAGGGAAGGAAAACTCAGCCATGCGTTTAAGTTTCTAGATACCTGAGAAGGTCTTGGTAGAAGTCATGCCTCTTGTCTAGCTCGTATACTTGATTGGAAGCATATTTCCAGCCCAACTTCTCACAGAGCGAGTTAGGATGGACATCTGTGAGATAAATAATAAAATATCAACACTAAGGTTCCCAGAATTGAACAAGTGATCAAGTGTGTAGGTAATAGTCGAAAAAATGTATTAAGGACTTACAGAAACCAAATGCGTAGACTTTAAGAGACTTTATTTTGATTATTTTCATGGTTCTTGATCCAGTTCCAACAAGGATCTGAAAGCATGATGAAATAGTTCATAGTTGAGTAATTGAAAGGAACTAAAGTTCTCTCAAACTAGAAGACAGAATGAGCGGCTGTATAATAACTGAGATTAAGAAGGCACAAACGGGTTTAGAAAATCAAACAAAAACCATATAAAAAACAGAACTATATAAAATAATCCGCTTCCCGTGCAACTAATTTAGTTTGCATGGAAAAGTAAACAGCATTGCTAGAATGGATTCACAGTACTAGAAGGAAACAAACAGTACATATACATCTCATGAATCTATTTTCCACAAACACGTCAGATAAGAAAAGAGATGTAAATATAAAAGCACAGGAAAATCCAAGGAAAAAATCACCAGATGTAAATACAAGTAGAAGCCTCAACTATCAAGATAAATTGAAAACCCCAGATCAAGCTGTAGACCTTACGAAACTAAAAGAAGTGTCAAGATATTCACTTAAATTTTCCAAATAGATAGTTTGATGAGGCAAAGCATCATTGAAGCGACAATAAACGTGCATCAACAGAAATAGTCATGGATGAAACATTGAAGCATCCAACCCACGCACATAGCACGGTAAACAACAAATACTACCTCTGGAGCTAGACTGGACTTTTTCTCCTGGGTTGAAGAACTATCCAGTACTATTGGGAACTCAATGCCAGTTATTGGCTCAACTGCATGCTTTTTCCAATTTAAGTCAGGACATGAACAGATTGAACATCCCTGAGGTTCAATGTCATGCATAGCGGCTTCGTTATCAGGTTTGCCACCTAATAATTCAGGAGACCTAACAATGACAGGTAAGCCATATTATAAAACCAATTACTGCCGAGGCTAAGGGAGCTCATAATCTAGCTTTCCATATCATGAAAAATGAGAGTAAAGCAACAGTGCATGAAAGCCATCATATCATAATAAACTTCGAATTGACTCACGAATTCTGAAATGGTGGAATAGAGGTGCTAGCTAATGATAGCACAGGTAATGACTGAATCTTGTCAGCTTCTCTAGACAATAGCCTTGTCCAAACACCAGAGATCTTTCTATACACCTCTGATGACAAAGGTTTTCCTTTTGACATAGAACCAGAGCAAAACCCATCAATATATAGTTCCATTGGAGTGCTGTGCTCAACTTGCTCCGGTAATCGAAAGCTTTTATGGTTTAGATCAAGTCCGCTTCTCGACATCTGCCTGTTTAAATAGGAACTGGATGTACCAGTAAACCAAAGAAGTAGAGAACCTGCTAGTTTCGAAGCACGATGAAAAGCTTCTTGGGTAATACAAGCAGGGCCATCTAACAACCGAGACTGGCCCATGGAGTTATCCAGAAACGAGCTAAATTGAGCAAATAAGAGGTTGCTGCAACTATGTGAGAGAAGGGGCACCACAGGTAAGATATATGGAGAGTCTCCTTTCATGTCTAGGAGAAACCACCAATTATCGCGCATGACTTTCCTGGAATCCACACAGACTTATTAGACTGCAACCTCGATTCTGCAAGGCCAACCTCTGACACCAAAACAGAAAGCCCTACATAAAATTATGGCCAATCAGTGAGCTTTAGAATTAATCATATTAAACCGAATAATGGCCTTATTATCAAGATTGATGTAAATGAACTGAAAGCTCTATCTCATACAACCTTGCAGACTCTACAAGGAGGACAAAGTGCAAGAAGAAAACAGAGACAATGAAATAACCCATGAGTCAAGAACACATAATTTCATAAAACGAAACCATTCTCTAATTCCAAATTGTTTTTATTCTTACGGATCACATGTTAATAAGATATCCCCACAAGGTAGAAACAAACATGGGAACCGGAGTCTAAAACAACCAAAGACTCTGGCAGTATACACAAGTGTGGTCCATAAACAATGTTGTTTTTCTTTCACATCCAAGATAGCATGCACAGAGCAATAAACTTCCCTTGAGGGCCTAGGTTTATTCATTTCAATCAATATGGTTAAACAAAATACATAGAAGAGTTAGGATCTTTGAAAGCAGTCAACAAAGAACTGGCCTCAAGCTTTCTACAAACTCACAAGTATTTTTGTTTTATAAGAGAACAAGCTCAGCTACCTAGAGGTGCAAACAGGGAGCCTGGTTATCATCATGTGGGGAGTATTATGCAACTGGCCTATGTAGTTATGTCACAGACCAGACTAACAATTCAAATCAACAGTCAATTTCAATTTGAAACCGCACCAGCTCGTTAGCCATCAGTTTTGAAACCAAGCAAAAGCAAGTTCTTAGATTTATGCAATAGTTATATGTTATAACACGAGTTGACATTTTGGTGCTCTCTGTCCTAGTCAAGAACGGTTTTCCTCCCAAAGAAACAAATCACCAACAACTACGAGCTAGCAAGAAAGTTATACTCGTATGATTTCATCTCGATTCAGCTCAGTCAAGAACAGCTTCGACACCATATTCAAATACACTAATCACTAAGTTCAAGATTACCTTTCACTAAAACAAACCAAGATCAATATTATCTTCATCCTATTGTTCAACCCTGATATAACTTTCAGCAGTCCAACAATCACCAATCGAAAAACGGTAAACTTATGAGGTCTTCCATGATCCATCAACAAAGCACATTGCACAATCTTTTTTTTATTATGTCAGCACGCAATCTGTTATAGTTTTTAGCTCGTCCGCCAACAAAAGAGAAGTACATTCTGTTAACAATCCTGAAGAGTACTATGCACATTGCACAAGTCAAGAAAGATTAAACAATCATATCCAACAAGCAATAGTCATACAGACATGCAAGCTCCTATCAAAGAATAGCAGAAGCAAGAGCCAAGAAGCCATACCTGGGGCTCGGATTGATAATCAAGAACAGGGAATGTCGGGTGCAATTTTGAAGACTGCTTCTTCGCCGTCTCTGTCTCTCTCTTCCAATCAAAGAAAGCAACAACGATTCCGAAACGGTGGAACTGAGGAATGCAGCAAGACCACGAGCGTTGCGCTGCAGAAGAGAGGTTTCTGCCTCGTCAATCTTAAACTATCGATTCACCCGTCAATTTCCTTCATAAGGGAATCAAGAGCAAATGGCAACCGGTGGTGACAGGCGGTAACCAGGTGGCAGGGATGGGTGTGGAGGTTTCCTTGCTTCCTTTCTCTTCTTTTTTCCGCCGACCTTTTTTTTTCTTCTACGTGAAAAACGAGAAGCAACGTCGGTTGCCGGCGGGCCCGGAGATTCAGGAGGCAACGGCAAGCGGGAAAGGGACGGCGATCAGCAGAGATGGAGGCGGTGGATCTGCTGCTCTTTCCTGAATCCTACAATTTCTATAACCCTCGCCACAAATTCCGGTCCCCCAGAGTTTCTTTCTTCTCAGTTTTCCCCGTCATTTTGTAATTTTCTTTTTCCTCACGAAACCGTTCAGCGATACGGCAAACAAGAGATTCAAAACGACATTTTTTTAATGCATAACGATATTTTTTTTTCTGAATCGCTAAACCTGCCCTAAATATATTTTTAGGGAGTTGCTAAAGGTCGCCCTTAAAATTGCTAAAGGTCGCCCTAAAAAGAATAAAAGTTACACTTTTAACCCCTATAGCTTCTTTACCTTCCCTTCCTCAAACAAACATCACTTGGACTAAAAAAACACTCTCTAAGGAGAGAAAAATCTCTCATCGTCATTTTGAAGCCGATATCGTCGGTAGGACGTCTGGATCATGAGTAGCGACTCCGACGAGGTAAAAACATGAACCGAAAAAAAAAACACAGAAAATGGGAACCGCGGGTGATTTGCGGTCCGACCATGGTCCAACCGCGGGTGACCTGCGGTTGAACCATGGCCGGACCGCAAATCACCTGCGGTTAAGCCATTGGTGGACCGCAATTGACCTGCGGTTGGACCATGGCTGGACCGCAAATCACCTGCGGTTCAGCCATGGTCCAACCGCAGGTCAATTGCGGTCCACCAATGGCTCAACCGCAGGTGATTTGCGGTCCGACCATGGCATTCGACGTTGCAGGTGGGCATCAACAAGTGGCTGTGGACCTTTCAACTGGATGGATAATGCGGAACTCTTCGTCTTCGCCACCTTGCATTCATGGGTCATCGTTGTATACAGTCAAGGCGGTCGTTATACCGTGCTACCTGTGACGGCCCCACCAGGAGTAACAAGACCACGTGGGATCTTATCACTACATTTTACGGGGGATCATTGGGTGCGACTTGACTTTCGACATGGTCAAGTGCCCATGCCTCCAATTAATGGCCTTTGGCCTATTTATCATGACCCTAGTGTCAATGGGTGGGATCAATTCTTCTTACATGAGCGTGCGCTTTATGATAGATTGAACCCACGGGGATGAATTGTATAACTCTCTATTGTATAACTCTCTATTTACGAATTGTATAACTCTCTATTGTTGAAACATTTAGTAATCTACCATGTTGATTAACTATTTTAGCAATGCATTGAATGTAACTAAAGTAAAAAAACACACAACCGTCTCAATTAAACTACAAACGATGACAAATAAAACACGCAATAGTCATAGTTCAACTACAAACGATGACAAATAAAACACACAATAGTCATAGTTCAACTACAAACGATGACAAATAAAACACACAATAGTCTCAGTTCAACTACAAACGATGACAAATAAAAACACAATCGTCTACTGAGGCGGCTGCCCTACCAACTGGTCGTACAACTCGAAAACTCCAGCTGCCATATCATAGAGCTTACCACCGTCCTCCTCCCACTTACTCCGGTCCCTCGTTAGCAACAAGGGACCTAAACGATCCACAATCTGCTCTCTCAACTGTAAATAGAAAACAATGTTAGAATAAATAACAAATGTCCTTTATATTTGGAAAAGCAAAAGAAAGTCATAACTAACCTGATGAACTAGTAGTGGTCGAGGCTGAGGCTCCCCATCAGTGGGGTGGGTGATCCGTGGGTGCGATCTAGTCAGAAACCAGTCAACGTACTCCTCCACGATCTCCGATGGCTGCTCGCACAGCCGAGAAGCAAAATCCAACTCTAGACGACGAGCTGCCACGTTATCCCACAACTGATTCACCCACGGATCCCAAAAGACTATGTAACTGCTGCCGGAAGCCGGACGGTACTGGTCATGTGGTACCGTCATAGCAGCGGGGATAATCTGTCGGTATCCAAACTGGCGCAGACAACGTGAAGGATCGTATCCCTCAGCAATGTCAGAAAAGCGAATGGGGCCAGTATACAAGGAGCGGGGTATATCTGTGTGGCCATCTCGTCCGTACGGAGTCCAGGTCACATCATCAGCTGAAAGCTCATCCAACAACTGTCGATAACGTACTAACCTCTGTCTAGCCTCATCCCCACCTGGCAAACGGGGAGAAATCCACGAGGAAGCACGAGGTGCATCCGGAGACTGTGGCAGCTGGCTCGGACGGAAAAGAGGAAAGTACTCATATATCCAAGCCTGAAGCAGGGTCAAACAACCACAAAGACCCTTACTACCCGCTCGTGTGGCCACTCCCAACTGTCTGTAGAGATAGGCTAGTGCACCAGCTCCCCAAGCGTAATCAGCCAATCGTCGATGATCCTTCAGAAACAAGTTGATCGCAGGACGAAGGCGATCACGACTCTTATCCACAAAAAGCGTGGATCCCAGTAACACAAACAGGTAACACTGCACCTCCATCTCCTTAATCTTCAGCTCTCCCCCACGCACCAACAATCCCTCTGCATGCATAGCACCATTATCGTACCACTTAGACTTCCACTTACCACCAACCTGAGCATCCACCGAAAGTCGAACTAGACCACCCATGTCTGACTTAAGAGTATCCTGCGACGCCTCATCTCCTATCAGCTGTCCGTCAACCGGCATCCGAAGAATGTGATGCACATCGTGTAGAAGGATCGAAATCTCTCCAAACGGCATGTGGAAGGTGTTTGTGTCCGGCTGCCACCTCTCCACAAATGCCGACATTAGAGCCATGTCTAAATGCTGCATCATGCACCCTGTCAAGTGAGACAATCCTGTGGCTTCAACCATCTCCTTGGAACCCTCTGCACTCCACTTATATCGCCTCAAAGTCTCTACAGCTCTCGGCCTATGGAAGCCGTCCAACACTCCACGGTCCTGCTCAGGGGAATTCCACAGTACCAAGCCAATGTGACCTCCAAAGCTAGGGATCACATCGGGAATCACTGGTCCACCTGAACACATCGGAGACTCGGCTGTAAGAAACCACGACATATCTTTCCTCGTGGTCTTCCTCTTCCTATTTCCATCTCCGCCATCCTCGCTACTAGGTCTGGACGCATAGCGTCCATCGGGCCCACGGAAGTGGGAGGAGGCAGTAGAAGATACCCCGACCCGTGCCGTCTTCCCCACGCCTAAATCAGCTTGAGGTGGGGCATCCCCAGCCTCAGCATCACCAGCACCATCAACAGCATCATCAACAGCAGCATCACCAGCAGCAGCACCAGCATCTGGGGCATTCCCAACCTCAGCATCACCGTCATCATCATCATCCTCGTCAATGGAATCACTCCAATTAGCCTGCCATACCGGTGCGGTATCTGGTGTAGGAGTACTGGTAGTGCCTCGACTAAGAGACAACTGCCCCACAGTAGGGTGGCCGTCAGGACGCACTACATCCGCCTTCTTCTTCCTTCTAACCTTAGGTGGATTTTTTTCTTCATTTTCCTTCCTACCAGTCGCCGTAAGTCTACAAGCACGACCTTCCATTCTCTCCTTATTTCTCGCCTTAATCATATCCGGTTTACCCATTCCATGTCCAGACATCTTCAAAAAAAAGTTTGAATTATTAATAATGGAGTACATAAAGTAATTAATTTAAGATTTTCATAATTAAAATGATAAAACTAATAGTTTTAACATTATGTTACGTTCTATGTAATAATTATTTACTTTTTAATCAAGGTCAAATTATTAATAATTAAGTAGATAAACGAATTACTTAGAAATTTTGATTATTAAAATGATAAAAACACATTTTTAATTTTTTCATAATGTTCTTTAAATTTGTTATCTTCAATTAACAATTATCGAATACGATTTTAAATTTTTTTATATTGTATAACTAAATTATAACTAAATTAATATTATAACTAAATTAACATTTATCGAATACGTTATTATTAATTATCATTATAACTAAATTAGTATTTATCAATAATATAACTAAATTCTTTTATTATGTATATTTTTTTAATTTTTTTTATTATTATTAACATTTATTTAACGAATAATAAAACACAGAATTTAAAAAACAGAATTAAAAAAAAAAAGGCCGAACCGCGGTCAACGCGCGGTTGGACCTACGGTCAACCGCGGTCAACGCGCGGTCCGACCAGCGGCTGACCGCGGTCAAAGCGCGGTTTACCCATCGGTCAACCGCCCTTTGACCGCGGTCAGCCGCTGGTCGGACCGCGCGTTGACCGCGGTTGACCGTAGGTCCAACCGCGCGTTGACCGCGGTTCGGGCAATTTTTTTTTTTTTCTTACCTTCTTCTCCGCGACGGGACGGCTGGCGGCTGGCGACGGGCGACGCGACGGGCGGCTGGCGACGGGCGGCGAGAGCTTCTCCGCGAGGCAGGCGGCGACGGGAGGCGACGGGGGCTGGCGGCTGGAGGCGACGGGGGCGGCGGGCTGGCGGCGGGAGGCGACGGGGGCGGCGGGCCGGCGGCGGCGGGCTGGCGTCGCCGGCGGTTGAGGGGGCCGGCGGTTGAGGGGGAGGGAGTGCAGAGGTGAGAGGAGTTGGGGGGAGGGAGAGGGAGAATGAATTTGAATTTGCCTTAAGGGCTTGTTTGTTTTGAGTTTTTGCTTAAGGGCATGTAGGTAATTTTATATTTTAGTTAGGGCGATGTTTAGCAATTCTTAGGGCGACATTTAGCGATTCAGTATTTTTATATAACGTGTCCTAAAATTATTAGGCTAATTAACACTACAACATTGAAACTATTTAAAAATGGTGTTCAAGTTTATTCAATATTACATTTCTATTATGAGCTATTTTTCAGTTAATGTAGACTGACATTAATTGTTAGTATTTAACAGAAAATCTAGTCAATAGTGAAGTGGCATATGACATGAAAATTTTAATTTATTTTTCAAAGCTTGAATTAAAAAAATAAAAATATCTATCTCCATTTGTCAAAAAAAAAAAAAAAGCCTCACCTCCTCCCACAATTTCCCCATGTCAAGAGCCTCTCTTCGATTATTTCTAGGAGATTTTTGCAATTCCTTGCGTTTATGAAACGGGGAAAAAAATTAAAGATCGTACATGAGAGCACCCATGACCATCAAACACGCCAAAGAAGGAAGTGCCTTCGCCGCTATCGCCATCTCTCCCAGATCTGCCCGTAGACTCTTCCTCTCTCTTGGTCCACCATCACTATTGATGCCTCTCGCCCTCTTTACCTCTTTGATAACACCATAAATACACATATTTATTCTCTCGTTTCTTGATCGTTTGAGATCGAGTTCTTGCATTTTAAACCGATTTTAGGCTAGGTTGTGACTATTTTTTTATATTTCAGGTCCTAGAACTCGAAAGAAGATTTAGGATCAAGTTTCGAGACATGTGGAGAACAAATGGGACTTGGAGGATGAGGAACTGAATTCCACGGTCTTGGAAGGCTGTTCCACAACCGTGGATCTTCAGTAACAACCGTGGAACAGAAACAAAAAATTCCACGGTCTGACGGATGTCATTCCACAACCGTGGAATAAGAGATGTGACCGTGAAAGTCATCATGTGCAACTCAAGTCAAACAGTGTATTTTGATGTTACACGGTTAGGAAATCCCATTCCACGACCGTGGAACATGACCAGGGAACTGCAAGTTGCGGGTATAAATTGGATTTTTGGGCTTTTTTCAAGGGAAACAATTTCTTTGACCTGGAAACGAGCTAAAGGACTTCCTGAGAGAAAGTGTCAAATTGTCCATCCTAGGAGCATATTTGAGCATCCATTTGAACATTAGAGTTTGGATTCATCTCGTTGGAGTGGCGGACAATGACTGAAGCATATTTTCACTACTAGCACAATGATCTCTACTTCACCCTTCGTGTTTTCATCTTTCTTTATGAAGTAAACTTTCTCTTCACTTGGGTATGAAGAATCCTAGTTCTAGATGTTAGGATAATGTTTTATGAACCCTTGCTTTTGTTGAACTGATTAATTATATTCAATTGAAGCATTTTCTAGAATTGATTGATTCTTGATCACAATCTTTTGATTATTGCTTTAACATAGGAGAGAGAACATCTTATTAGGTTAAAAGAGCAACTTCAGTTGCAAGTAGTGAATCGATTCACTGCCTCGTACTGGAAATTCATTCTAGTATAGGAGGTCTATCTACATTCCTTGACAGTTTAATCTGATTGAGGATAATCTCCCTGCGGTTGATCTGTTTAAGAGGGTTTGGTTTGCTTTAGTCGAGATTTCAAGCTAATTTCGGATTTTCCCCGTATAATCATCGTTGAAATGAACAAATGGAATTACAACTTTGACCTAACTATAGTATAGGGGACACATACCTGAGTGAGCTTTCTCATAACTGAACTCGAATCAACTTGTTTAATTTTGTTGCTTTAGCTTCAGAAATCTATAGTGGTTGCTAATAGACAGTTCACCGAGTAATAGTACATCTAGGCCTCGAGTTGACATTACTACTTCGATTTACTATACTACTCCCTAATTTGTGGTTACACTTGGCCACTAATTACAGTGTTGATAAAAGAGACTCATGTTTTTGGCCTCGTTGTCTGGACGACTAGATTAATAGGAAAAGTGAACATTTGTTACTTTGTCTTTCTTTTTCTGCATTTTAATCTCATTCCACCTTTGCTTTTCACGGGTTATTTATGCTTCGGTTGTGGCAAGTTCTAGTACATGACCCGAAGTCAATTGGGTGATCTACTACCTTTGAACAACAACATCAACCGTATGCTCCTGAACTTGAAGAAGGAAAGAGAGGGTTGGCGAGCTCTTTTATCAGGAGACCCTAGTGACAACTCGTGCAAAACAAAGCCCGTCATTATGGCCAAGGAAGCAGACCAAAGTGACACTGAGAGGACCATGAGGGACTACTTCTCCCCTCAAGGTCGAGGAGATCAAGCCCAACATTGTTCATCCACCCATTGCTGCCAATACCTTTGAGATCAAGCCCAGATGGATCACAATGATTCAGAGCAGCATCCAGTTTCATTGACTCCCATCTGAAGAACCGCGTGAGCATATCAACCAATTTCTTGAGCTCATACACAATTTTCCAAATACACTATTATGTTAACATGACGTATAAAACTTCGTATATATTAATATCGTAACATATGCTTGTTGACCAACCATGCACACATGCTGACCAAGCTAGAAAGGAATGGGGTTAAAGGAAAATTGATAAATAACAAATTTGAGTACAATTACCACATCACCAATACCACTACTTATAATCTATTCAAACGTGATATTTCGTACAAACACAAGACAACAAATAACATGTATTTGTGCATATTTGATTCCAAATAACAGGTATGGCAAATACCACATTCAAATGATCCAAATTTATTATTTCCACTACAACATATTAATAAAATATCATATCTATCACACTTTTTAATTTACTTTTTTCTCTCCCGCTTTCTCTATACAGAAATGGAGGTGAAACAAATCTGATGAAAAAAAATTAAGCAAAATTCTGGCTAAACCATTGTCACCCATTACTCATAATATTCAGCTTCGAATCTTATCCATTACGTAAAATTACTCATAATATTCAGCTTCGAATCTTATCCATTCCATTACGTAATGTATGTAGCTTGAATTTTATCCTATTTAACCGGATCGGATTCGAACGGTTAATCATGAAATTTTTGCCACCCCTACTCTTAGTCACAGCATGAGGTATTCTCTGGGAACCTCCTCGAATACTTCCTTGTGCTCTTCATGCCTAAACCCATTGGAGGTTACATTACTTTCGAAAGGTTCTTACCGGGAAGAAGGGAGGAAAAATAAACAGTTGAACGAATATGGAAAGTTGGTCGTGGAAAACTGGTCAAATAGGGGTTGGCTGTAATTTTTTTATTTTTGTGTTTTCCTGAAAGTAAAATTAATGATGATTGGGTGTTTAGTCAGCAGTCAGCACCCTGCAATATAACGGAACACTAATGTTTGGGGATCCATTGGGAAAATGGACAGAGTTTAAGAAGACAAGAAAGCATGGAGGATTTTGTTGAACTGGGGCGCGTCTTCAATCTGCGGCACATGCGATGCTTTCTTCATCACTTCCAACTTCACATTGTTCTTCTTCCCTATTAGCCTGCATGCATGCAACAACCATCCCATCTTTCCTCAGTTAGATGGCTGATCAAATTCTTGCCACAAAAAAAAAAAAATCAACGCAACACTTTTCTGATAATTGACTAATATGATTTTACCCCTTGAGTTCATGAGCCATCTTCAAAGGGAAAATCTGGTCTTCTTCTCCCCATATTAACAATACCTCCTGAATCCACATCAAGAAAAGGGGAAAACGCATCATCAAAAAAAGAAAAGGGGAAAACGCATATAATATGATGAGTAATATATATTATGTCTATGCATAAAATATGATGTTTGATGTGTTATGTGGATTTCTCTGGTAGAAACCCTTCTCGCGAACTTTTCAGAATAATCGAATGATAAATGAAAAAAAAAAGACTAAGAACAAGGAGAATTGGGATGTGAGGACTAAACTATAAAACTAACTTGGGTTCCAATTTTCAATGACATTAAACTAGAAACTGAGTACATGTTTAATTGTTTATAGGTATATAATTTTATAAACCCCATAAATCTTTCTCCTTCCCTCCTTGGTTCTGATCCCACCAAATCTCCTCTCTTTCCCACTCAAAAATATGAAACTTCCCTTACAGGGAAAACTAGAGTAAATTTCTAAACAAATACTCAAAAGCAATCCAAATTCTACCAAAAATAATTATTAGTACAAAACATTCCAAATTAACGACAAAGCACTAACTGATTATTTAAAACAGATGAGTCATCCAGTAACACGATGTTGTGAAATTGGTAAAACATTAAAGCAAACGAATTCCATTGAACGAGTACCTGTTGCAGCGGTGAAAGAGTCGGCGTGTCATCCTGGCCCAGAGTTAACCCTTGCAAAAGCTCCAACTTCTCATTCCGCTTCTCCGCGTACAGTTTCTAATAATACATATCAATTCTATCAGTTTAATGCTGCTGGGTCGAGTGGAGCTGCAATGCCACTTAAAAGACGACTTACAGTAAAAAATGTAATTCTACTTGGAATGATTTTGGTGAACTAAAAACGTAAAAGTATAAACTTTGAAATTTTAAATCGCAATTTATTACTACACACCACTCTAAAATAATGACTCTGATGCGCACTCTCTGCTTCTCCCTTTTGTTATTTTAATGATCAGTCTATTTACTTGGAATTGTCGGGGGGCTAAGAACCCCAAATTTCTTGCTGTTTTTAAAGATTATATGCGTATCCATCGTCCGAACCTAGTTTTCATTGTTGAGCCGCGAATTAGTGGCAAGGAAGCATTGGAAGTTATTCGGAAAATGGGTTTTGATAAGCATGAGATGGTTGAAGCTGTGGGGTTTTCTGGGGGCATTTGGGTTCTCTGGAACTCTTCAGTTTTCAATATCTCTGTTGTGGATAGAAATGCTCAAATGCTGCATTTTCGTTGTGTTAACTTGCAGGTAAATCAAGAGGCCATGCTCACCGCCATCTACGCCAAGCCCAATGAGCATGACAGACTGCCGCTTTGGGACACCATTCGGCAACTGGAGCAATCTATTTCTGTTCCTTGGTTGCTGGCCGGTGATTTCAACTCGATCAGGTGTCCTTCGGATAAGCAGGGCGGTGCAGCCTATAACCCAGCTAGAGCAGAACATTTCAACAGATGCATAAATGATTGTGGTTTGATTGATATTGAGTTCTCAGGGCCAAGGTTCACCTGGGTTAAGGGCAGTCTTCACCAGAGATTGGATCGTGCACTGTGTAATGAGGAGTGGCTGAAGCTGTTCCCTGATACAATCAATCACCATCTTCCTCGGCTTCGCTCGGATCACAGGCCTTTACTGATTGTGGCTGCCAGGGATAACAGCAGTAAGAAGAACAGGAGACCTTTCCGATTTCTTGCTCCTTGGCTGACCCACCAGGACTTCCATCCTACTGTAGAGAGATCGTGGAAGACGGGAGGAGATTTTCTTGAGTCCCTTAACGAGCTCCAACACACTCTTTCTAAGTGGAACAGGGAGGTGTTCGGCAATATCTTCAGAAGGAAAGAAGAGCTGACCAAATGCCTTGCCGATACTGAAGCACAGAATGATATTAGCCCAGATCCCCTCTCTTTGCAACAGGAGGCTAACCTTAGAGAGGAACTAGAAACTACGCTTTGGCAAGAAGAGCTCCTCTGGATGCAGAAGGCTAGGGCCACCTCGATCACTCAGGGGGACAAGAATAACACTTATTTCCATACTGTGGCTCTTACTAGGCGGCGGAGGAACAAAGTTACAAAGCTTCAAGATGGTAATGGTGCCTGGATCGAGGATGCCCAAGCGTTGGAAGCGATGGCCAGGAATTTCTACATTCACCTCTTCACTGAAGACACTGCCATCCGACCGCAAGTTGCTGCCAACTTCCCTGCTCTTGATGAGGCCCTTGTCCGCAACCTAGCTGCTGTCCCTACTCTTGATGAAACCCGAGGAATCATCAGGGCAATGGGGGGACTCAAAGCACCGGGCAAGGACGGCTTCCATGCGATTTTTTACCAGAACTGCTGGTCGTCAATAGGAGAAGACTTCTATCAACACCTCGCTCGCTGTTTTAGGGATCCAGATCACATCGCTCGCTGCAATACAACTCTTTTGACCTTGCTGCCGAAATGTGACTCTCCAAGATCAATGGGGCAATTTCGTCCGATCGGGCTCTGTAATGTCAGTTATAAGGCCGTGGCCAAATGTCTGGCTGATCGCTTGAAGAGTCTTATGCCTCGCTTGGTAGACGAAAACCAGACCAGCTTCGTCCCCCGGAGACACATCACAGATAATATCATTATTCTCCAGGAAGTGGTTCACTCTCTTAACCTGATGAAGGGTGTGCGGGGTAGTATGATCCTGAAGATCGATTTAGCCAAAGCCTATGACAGGATCAACTGGGAGTTCTTGAAATCCACTCTTGTAGCTGCCAGTCTCCCGATGGACTTTGTTAATCTGATCATGGGCTGTGTAACCACTTCAAGCTTTCAGGTTCTCTGGAATGGGAGCTGTACAGATTCTTTCAAGCCTTCTCGCGGAATCAGACAGGGATGTCCCCTTTCTCCATATCTCTTTACTCTTTGCATTGAGCGTCTAAATCACTGTATCAAAGAGTCGGTTGATAATGGTCTCTGGAATCCTATTTATCTATCTCAACAGGGACCGGCTCTCACCCATCTCTTTTTTGCAGACGATCTAGTTCTCTTTGCCCAAGCTGATATGAAGCAGGGGCAAGCCATCATTGATTGCCTTGACCAGTTTTGTGCTGCTTCGGGAGAAGAAGTCAGTAAAGACAAATCGTGCGCTTTCTTCTCTAAGAATACCAAGGAACATACCAAGAGAAGAATCAGCAGGCTTTTAGGAATTAAGCAGACCAACAACCTTGGGAGATATTTGGGTGTCCCAGTTGTGCACGGGCGGGTTACCAAGGACACCTACAAATATATCCTGGAAAACTTGGATAAAAGGCTCTCAGGATGGAAGACTCGGAGTCTTTCGCTTGCAGGAAGGGTTACTTTAGCCCTGTCAGTCCTGAACGCGCTCCCGAACTATGTGATGCAAACAGCCGTCCTCCCCTGCCACATATGCGACGTGATCGATAAAAAGATCCGGAATTTCGTCTGGGGTGCAGAGGAAGGGCGCACTAAAACCCACCTAGTGACTTGGGAGACTATCTGCAAGCCGAAGGAGGAGGGTGGTTTAGGCCTTCGTTCAGCCCGTGCTCTTAATCTGGCCTATGTTATGAAGCTTTGCTGGAATTTTATCACTGATAATAATGCCTTGTGGATTAGAATCTTGCAGGACAAGTATATCAAGACTAACAGTGATGGTGCTATATCGATGAGGCACCAGAGAGTCTCGAGATTGTGGAAAGGAATGTTGGAGGCCTTCCCTCTAGTGAAACAGGGGACCATTTGGGACATCCGGGATGGTGAAAGCGTGAAGTTTTGGCTAGACTCGTGGGTGGCGGATGATGTGGTCCTGCGGGATTATGTGATGGATCATGACCGCTTGATGGACTGGAACATCTCTGTGGCTGACATGGTTGACGACTCAGGTGAGTGGAAGTGGCCAAGTTTCCAAAACCTCCTACCTAACTCTACTGTTTTACTTATCGCAGGTATCGACCCGCCCAGAAGGGACGCTGGAGAAGACCTGACGACTTGGGGGAGGGAGGCCGATGGGAAATTTAGAATAAAGTCAGCCTACACCGTGGCAGCAGACTGGCTCGGCATGGAGAACAGTGTTCCTGATCAAGACCAAGCTAGGCCCAAATGGAAACAAGTCTGGAAATGGGATGGTCCCCATCGCATAAGACATTTCCTGTGGCTTGCTTTTCATGACCGTCTTTTGACGAATTGCGAGAGGAAGAGAAGGAAACTCTGTCAGCAGGATACCTGTGATACCTGCAATTCAGCCCCGGAATCGACCGAGCATGTCCTCCGACAATGTGCTTATGCTACACAGGTATGGCGTGATCTTGGGATCTCAGATAACAACCTAACTATCGGCCTCAACCTTGCAGATTGGATGGCGGAGCACCTGAAGAATACGCAAACTGGGTTGCTCTTCGGAGTCGGCGCCTGGTACCTCTGGAAAAGGAGAAACGAATGGGTTTTCGATCGCAAGCAGCAAGATCCCTCGACTCTTGTCCAGAGAATTAGGAGCTGGACCAGCACTGTCCGGAATGCCCAAGAGAACAATGGAAAGATCCACACGACTCAGCGCACGAAGATTCCGGCTGAGATTGCCTGGAATCCGCCACCTCCAGACTGGATAGTGCTCAACACTGATGGTTCAGTTAAGCAACCTGATTCCTTGGCAGCAGCAGGGGGCCTAATTCGGGACAACTTGGGCAGATGTCTGGGGGCATTTGCGTCCAACCTAGGAGCTTGCACTATCACGAGAGCTGAGTTGCTGGGGGTTCTCCAAGGACTCAGACTTGCTTGGCGGCTGGGCTATCGCAAAGTTCAGGTGCGGACTGATTCCACGACTGTTATGTCCATCTTGACCTCTCATACGGAGTACGAAGGACGGTACCATAGTCTTTGGACCCAAGTGCAGCAACTCCTCCAAAAAGATTGGGAGATTGAGATCTCCCATACTTTCCGCGAAGGCAATAAGGCAGCCGATTACCTCGCTAATAAAGGGCATTCTTTCAGTATTGGTTATCACGTTGTTGAGAGGGATGACCCTGGACTCAATTTTTGGCTTTTGTATGACTCTATGGGCATTGCCCAATCTCGGTTAATCTAAGTTTCAGGCAGGGGCGCCCTTTTAGCGTCCCATTTTCTACCAAAAAAAAAAAATGACTCAGGGACGGCAATGATCACGTAGCAACATTTGTCTGCCCCGCGTCAGCTACCAGTAATCGACAAGATGCACTGTTGATTAATGAACCATTAATTAATTCAGAACTTAATTAAAGAATAATGTTATTAGGGTTTTGGCCATACACCTAAACATGTCCTACTGCAATCAACTCAACCACAGCATTTGTGGTTCACCATTGCTCTTCCAACAATCCGCAACCACCACCACCCCAACAACAACAAGGAAAAATTTCACAACTACTACGCCAGCTAATTAATAAATAGAGGCGTCCTCTCCGGTTCCACAATGCTCTTTAGACTACTCGAAATAAAGGGGGGAATCAGCTCACCAGACAGACACCTCAGGCATCTGTCTTCTTCATGCATCATACGCATAATTACATGCTAAAACTCTGGGGTCGTTTGGAAGTTGCGATTGTTAAATAGATGTATTGTTGAGAATGCATGTATAATATTATACATGTATTGTCGAATTTGATGCATTGTAGAATACAACGTTTGGTATGTGTGATTGTGTATGTCGCATGCATCAGCTAAAAGCTGAGACAAAACAATCTCAACTCAACTATCTCAGCAATCACAACTAAAAGTTGAGATATAACAATCACTCAAAATGAGTGATAGTTTCTGTCACATCATAGAAACAATCCATGCATTGTTTCTGCTAAAAAAACAAAAAAAAAACGATGCATTGTAAACAATACATGCATAATGGCAATCTCAACAAAACAAATCGCAACTTCCAAACGACCCCTCTATTCTCTATAAAAAGCTACATTCTCACCAAACGCCATCAATTACTCACAATGCTTCATTCATATCCTATACAAAAATTCACTTATATTGACGAACATGAATCAGATTAAGAAGACTGCATAAAAAAAATCTGCTTAGAGTAATCGATAAAATTGAATTGTGGGATATTCCGGTGTGGCCGGAGAATAACAAATAGTTGTGAATTGGCAGCTTAACTGCTTACCTAAAACGACCAACTATTAGGTCCAGCCATGGAAATAAATCAACCCTTTAATTTAATACACCGAAAGGATAGATAGGGAAGAAAACAGTCACACAGATCTGAACAACATCATTATGCAAAAGATATGATGTCAAATTTTGATCAATTCAAAATCTAAATATCATTTTCTTACTCAAAATATGTTATACTTTTGATTTTACCCAAAATACGATAGAACCATCCACGTATATATACATAAAACTGCCGGCCGAACGAATTGATAGAAACGTTAGTTGTTAATTTATTATTATCATTTTCAAAAACCCACCATTTCGAACGGGGAACGAAAGTGCACTTACGTTGACGAGGTCATTGAGCAGGAAATCGGGCGCCCTCCGGACGCTAGCGGAGGCAGCGACGCCGAGCAGGGCCCTCAGATGCGACGCCGTTTGGGGCAGCATGAGGTCCCCGATGCTCTCCACCTTCGCCTTCCTCACGAGCTCGTCGTTGTCGGCCGGCCGCATGTTGATCCCGGAGCTGGCCACGACCACCTTCTCCACCCTGTCGGGGAACATCCTCGCCACGTGGTACGCCACGAACCCGCCGTAGCTGGTCCCCACGACGGAGTACTTCCCCGCCACCCCGAGCTTGTCCATCAGCGCCGCCACCGCCTCCGCCTGGAAGACCTCGGACCGGCGGGACGACGTCGTGTGGGAGTCGCCGAAGAAGACGAGGTTCGGGACGTAGACGTTGTAGCGAGTGGCGAGGTGCTGGACCTGGCGGCGCCACTGCCAGGTGGCGACGGGGCCGAAGCCGTGGAGGAGGAGGAGGGAAGGGTTTCGTGGGTTGGGTTTTGTTGGGGACCAGAACTGGACGGTGGTTGTTGGGTCGGTGGGGGCGGTTTTCTCCGAGAGGCCGGCGGCGGAGAAGCAGCGGCGGAGGTAGAAGGTGTAGAGGGAGGCGAGGCTGAGGTAGGAGGAGAGTGATGGAGCCATGGAGGAGGAGGGCGAGGTTGATTGATTGATTGATGAGTCGTTTGGTGGACAGGTTTTATTATACAAGGGAGCGGTAATTAGGGCAGTTCGAGTCTTATTTGGGGATTGAGTTTTTTTGGGTTGATTCGGTTTATGTATGGAATGAAGTGATTTTTATTTTTAAGGGGAATCTGTGTGGGTTGGTTTACCTATAATGGAAAACAATTTGCGGGGGTGGAAGGAAGAATTTATGGCCGGATTCTCTAATTGGGTGACGGTGGATTATTTTCTTACACACACGGATCCAGAGTGATCTGATATATATATATGTGCGCCATTTATTGCAAGATATTCCCCAAGTAAAAAAAAGTATTTGAAATATAATTTATGTAGTGGTCCAATTTGAGATGTACAATATAATCAAACGCTCCATTAAACTTACTCTCTCCTCCACTCTACATGCTCACTTGAAATTGTTGGCAAAGACGGTTAATTAAGATAAATGGTCACAAACCTAATAACTTTGTACAAAATGGTCACAATCCTTTAAATTTGCACGTTTAGGTAATAAAGGTTTGAGCAAATAATGAAATTGTCAATCCATCCAATTCCGTCCAAAACTCTGTCCCAAATCGCCACGTCAGTGTAAAAATAATAATAAAAATGTTTTGCTTAGCCCACTTAACCCGAGACCGGTTCAACCCTTTACCCATGACTCACCCCTATCGTATTCAGTCTGTTTTCATTCTTAACCCCCCCCCCCAAATCGCGACTGGAACTCTGAAGGAAGGGATAGAACGTTGCCATTGTTGGGAGACCGATTCGGCGCCGTCGCCAAATCCTCTCGCCGACGCCAACGATCGCCATCGCTCGAAATCGTCGTCGCTCGAAATCGTCGTCCGAGCTGTAGAGACATCGCCAGAAAGCTAGTTCGCTGTCGCCAAGCCCTCCGCGCCGGCGACAATCGTCCATCCCCTATCATCCTCGACGCGCGGGAGCGATTCCTCGTCCGATCTTCCCTTCTCCTGTCATCATCGGCAATATTCCCCTAAAGCCCGGCCGATCTTGTGCATGCGTGGTTGGAAATTTCATAGTTGCTCCGGCTAACGAACAATGGATGAGTGGAAGCTTCGTTCGGCCCGGATTCGCCATCTAAAGCCTGACTATGGTAAGAATTCTCCCTTTTCAGAAGAATTTTTAGGGTTTAGAACAATGTGGGGTGAGGGTTTTGTTGCTATAAAAGAATTGGGGAAAAGAATTGATTTTGTTGTCGGGTTGTGGTAGGGAAAGTGCCTGGTCCCATTATCCTATTCGTTTTTTCTGGATTGAAAGTAGTTGGTCCATTATACTATTCTGTTCTTTCTGTGGATTCAAAGCAGATGGTCCCCATTTTTTATTCGAATTAGTGGGTACAATTTAACAGATTTCATTGCTATTTATAGGAAATTCTGGACTTTTCACCATTGAGATTCACAGCATGGGGCAGTTTGGCGACACGGGCTACACTGATGGGAAGACTGATTACATTAACTTTGTCGATGTTGACAAATTGTCAATGCTGGAAATTAAAGAGATGGTCAGAACAGCATAAGTGGAGCAGGCGATGCAGTTCTTTTGGTTGATGCCTGGTGTGGATGTGCAAAATGGATTGAAGCTTTTGGAGAGTGATAAGGATGTTCTGGAGATGGGCGGGCATGTTCCTGAAGACAGGGTTATTCATTTGTATGTTAAGCATATAATTCCAGTTGTGGCAGCCCAGATATATCTCATTTCGTTCACACTAGCAGTGAGAGGGAGGTGGAAGAAATTAGAGCGCCATCAATTTCAGTTTAAAGGGGACATGGACATACATTTTCAGGGGGAAGTCAAGGTAGAAATTCCACAGGGCATCCCATAAAGAGCAACCAGCTGCAACTAACGCCAATGAAGCAGTTCTAGATGAAGATGTCCTCGAGAGAGACGACTTGTATGCAAGTGAAGGTGAGTTATTGGAGAAGACTGGATGGGGAAGCAAAGAAGAAGATGATGTGTTCAACCTAAACACCATTTTTCCTGAGTTTAGGGCTGAAAGGGATATGGAGATGCCTGAGTTGAAGATTGGTCACCTATTTGGATCCTTTGATGAGTTCAAAACTGCTTGTAAGTCACATGCTGTTGTGCAAAGGAGAGATGTGAAATTTCCCACCAACGACAAAAAGCGTTGCATCTGTGTGTGCTCACAGGACTGTTGGTTCAAACTGTATGTTGCAAAGCTAAGAGATTGCGATACTGTACAAATCTGGACTGGAAATCTGGAGCATACTTGTGGAGTTGATGAAGACTTACGAGCTGCGGCACCATCATTCCTTGCCAAGAAGTATCTAACTCGGTTCAAGGTGGATCCATCGTGGTCAATACCGAATCTTGTGCACACTGTGATAATAGATTTGAGTATGAAGATCAACCGAATGAAGGCCTACAGAACTAAACAGTTGGCTTTGAAATTGGTTCATGGCGAGGATAGTCTCCAGTTTGGGAAGCTTTATGCTTACAAGAAGGAGTTGGAGGTAAGAAATCCTGGCACTACAGTGGTTATTGAACATGCTGAGAATGTTTTTCAGAGTATCTACATATGTTTGGGTCCATCAAAAGAAGGGTTCAAAGTTGGATGCCAGAGAGTGGTTGGTGTGGATGGGTGTTTTCTCAAAGCTATGCCTGGATGGCAGCTTCTTTCGGCTGTTGGTATCGACGGTGATGACTGCATGTATCCAATTGCATGGGCAATAGTAGAGAAAGAATGTCATGATACATAGGAATGGTTCATGACACATTTGAGAGAGGACTTGGAGATAGACGACTCACCAAATTGGACTTTCATGTCCGACATGCAAAAGGTAAATATGACTGAATTTGATTTGAGAATGTGAATGTGATTGTTGTTGATGGATAGTTGTCGGGCAATTGAAGGTTGTTATTCCATTTTTTTTTATGGTCATCTGTCTTGTTTCTAAATGTATATATACATGTTTGGTCTCAACAGAATGCAACTTTTAAATATATATATACATGTTTGGTCTTAACAGAATGCAACTTTTAAATGTATATATACATGTTTGGTCTCAACAGAATGCAACTTTTATATGTGATCTAGATGAACATCTTGCTTTAAAATTACTGTATAATCTGATATCTATTTATTCTGTTTTTTTCTTTTGGATGCTAGGGTTTAATGAACGTGATGAACTCGATGTACCCAAACGTCGAGCATCGTTACTTCGTCCGCAATGTTTGTGAACTTTAGTGGCAAGTTCACTAGGTCCAAGAGGCTCAGAGACCTTTTCTATAATGCTGCCAGTTCGACTTATAGGGCACAATATTTGGCAGTCATGGAGGAGATAGAGACGGTTGGGGAGAGCCACAAGGTTGGTGATCAAACACCGCATCAATGGCTAATGGAAAGAGATAGAACTCAGTGGTGCAAGGCGTTCTACAGAACAAACAACAAATGTGACATGGGAGTTAACAACCACTGTTAAAGCTTCAACAAGTACATTCTGGAGTCAAGAGACATGCCAATCCTATCTTGCTTGGAGGACATATTTGGCAAAGTAATGAAGAGAGTTGCTGTAAAAAAGAAGCTGATGCAGCGTCTAGAAGAGAAGGGAATTCATATATGCCCAAAGCCGATACAGAAGATGAAAATGTACAAGGGGTGGGCTGCTTTTTGCTTCCCAACCTTCAATGGGAACATGGAATATCAGGTGCAATCATACAGAGGAAGATGAACAATGATCCTCCGGAGCGGTATATGGATGACTGTAACCGTGTCGACACATGCAAGAAAGCCTACTCTTTTGCTATCCGCCCTCTCAATGATTCAAGTCAATGGATTCATGATGAATGTATTGATCTTGAATCGCCTATATTTCAAGAGAAGAAGAGGGGTCCTAGACAGAAAAAGAGGCGTAAGGAAGCATTGGAGGTGGAGAAAGCAAAGAAAGATAAGAAGGGAAGAGCATACAAAGCCATGTCAAAGGGTGGAAGCGAGATGCCATGCAATGTATGTCACGAGAGAGGACACAACAGCAGATTCCACGCGAAGGTAAGAATCTGCCCATGTTTTCTTCAACATTGTTCAACCGAATTCTGTTTATGATTAATGGAAATGATGCTGCCATCTTCACATTGTTATTTTTTTACCAGAATTCTAGTGGTGACGAAGCAGCAAATCCATCGGAAACATCTCCTCAACACATGGGAGGATCTCCTCCGCACATGAGAGGCTCTCCAGTAGCTGCATCTCTTGAAGATTGTGAGCGTGCCGAAGGCTCAACCTTTATGCCTACTCCAGCATTTGTACTACCATCTGAGAACCCACCCAGGATGAAGGTCACAGTTTGAAGGGGTCGTGGTAGGGGTCGTGGTAACACCGGTAGGGGTTGTGGCAGGCATAACGAGTAATTCCATGAGTAGTTGAAGAACTAGCAGACATTTAACTTTTTTTAGGAGCTGATTAGATCATCTTTTGTGAACACCTTTTTTGTGACATGTCGATTGCTTGTTGAAACTTTCATGACGAGCCAACCCATGTCAAGTAAGATATAATCAGCTTGGTGAATGTAATCTACAATATGGATGTTTAAATATGCAGGTTTGATGTTTTTTGGTCAGGTTTAGTGTTCATTACAGGTCTCTACCACTGACTGAAGTTAAACTTACAGTAATCTCTCTACGCAATAGCTTTGTGACCATTTTGTTACAATGACCAAATGACTGTGACCATTTTGTTACAATGCCCAAATGATTGTGACCATTCTATTTATTATTGATTAGTATTATGACCCTGTATTTATCGACAATAAAGCTATATTACCATAACAGATAACGTTGCAAACTTAGTTCGAACAACCAGAAACAGAATTAGATTGCAAACTGAACAAAACAGAAACAGAATACAGGAGGATTTCATGTTCTACATTACACATATCTACCAATAACGATTCCTACAATCACACAAACGACTACATAAACTAGATTAATTGTCCGTGTATACAGATCTTCACTTTGGTTGCCCCTTCTAGATTGTTCATCGTTGCGTGCCGTCGATGAAAAAGAATTTGTCTCATTCAGCATGCTCTCTTCCCTTGATCTTGTTTCCATGTTCTTAATCTTCTTCAACAGCCCATTGATGACAGCTCTGGCCCTATCTTCGACTGGAGGGTCGACCCATTCAAAA